TCACTTTGTGCGTGAGCGTGTTGCTTCTGGAGCTCTTGAGGTCAGATTCATTTCTTCTAACGATCAGCTGGCTGATGTGTTTACTAAACCAGCCACCATACAGATGCTAGACCGATTTAGTACCAATCTCAACCTTGTACAGAGTAGAAGTTCAGATTGAGGGGGAGTGTTAAAATAGGTCTAGCGTGTCATGTACACGTACCTTGTACGTATGTAATTGTATGCTGATTGTTATATATATAGAAAGACGTGGAGAGGCTTTGCCCCACGGAAAACCCTAAACCCTATTCTCAAACTGAGACCGCTCCCCCTCCTACTAGGTGGGGAACTAAGCCGCGGATATGGCCCGCAGCCTTGGCCTTATCCAAGATGGATGCCAGGGCATCGACCACCATGTTGAACAAGAACAGTGAGAAGGGGTCACCCTGACGGACCCCACAAAGGGTGGGGAAGTAGGGCCCAATGTCACCGTTGATGTTCACCGCGGTCCGGCCACAGGAGACAAGCTGCATGACGCGGGTCACCCAACGATCATCGAAACCCTTGCGAAGCAGCACTTCTCGCAGGAATGGCCAGTGGACCGTGTCGTAGGCTTTATGAAAGTCTAGCTTTAGGAAGACCGCGCGATGGCGTTTTATACGAACCTCGTGGAGGACCTCGTGGAATACTAACACTCCATCGAGAATGAATCGGCCTTGTATGAAGGCGGATTGATTCGGATGGGTAATCGTGTCAGCTAGGAGGGTCATCCTATTGGCGTACCCTTTGGCCAAGATTTGAAAGATCACATTAATCACCATGATTGGGCGGAACTGGCGAATAGCCGAGGCGCCCGGGACCTTGGGGATGAGGGTCACAATCCCATAATTGAGACGCCCAAGGTCCATGGAGCCCGAATAGAATTCTTCGAACATAGCCATGACCTCCGGCTTGATGGTAGACCAGAACGTCTTGAAGAACGTCACGGGCAGGCCATCCGGACCCAGGGCCGAGGAGGGGTTCATCCCCTTAATGGTTGCGAGGACCTCGTCCTCATCAAAAGGGGCCACTAAAGCCACGTTGGCCTCAGCCGAGACCAATTGCGCACCCCACCAAATGTCGGGGGCGAGACTAGCCCCACCCCGCGGGGTGGGGGTAAATAGGGCTTTATAGAAGCCGTCTACGTGGGTACGGATGGCCGAGGGGAGAACGATAGGTGTGTCACCATCCCATAGGCAGTGGATGGAATTACGACGACGCCGGCCGTTCGCCACCGCGTGAAAGTAGGCGGTGTTGGCATCTCCCCGAAGTACCCACCTCTGGGTGCCACGTAGGCGCCAGTAGGCTTCTTCATCGGTGTAAATGGTGGAGAGCTGGTCTTCCAGGTCGTATCGCAGCATCCACTCATCAGGGGAGATCCCGGTCGAGTCGGCGCGGGCGTCCAGGGCTTGGATAGCCAACAGGAGGGCCTTTTTGCGCTCTCTAAGATCCCGGCTCCAGGTCGTATCGCAGCATCCACTCATCAGGGGAGATCCCGGTCGAGTCGGCGCGGGCGTCCAGGGCTTGGATAGCCAACAGGAGGGCCTTTTTGCGCTCTCTAAGATCCCGGCCAAGGTTGGCCCCCCAGCCCTTCATGAATTGGCGGGCTAGTTTGGCGCAGAAATGCCACGAGTCGACAGCGGACATGGAGCGATGGGGAGCAGAACGGGCAAAAATCCAGCGGGCGACGACAGCCTCCCGGAAGCCGGCCTGATTGAGCCAGAAGGGCTCGAACCGGAATCGCGGCGCAGTGGGGGGCCGCTCGTCGGCGGTGGAGAGGAGGAGGGGAACATGGTCAGAACCCGATCTGGGTGACAGCCCGGAGCGATGCCAGGGGCAGCGTAATTCCCATTCCAGGGAAATTAGGACACGATCCAGCACGTATTGTGTCGGGACAATCTGTCGGTTCGTCCAGGTGAACCTGGCACCCATCCGATCAAGTTCGCGGAGCCCCAGCTCCGCGATCCAATCGTTGAATAATTGCATCCTAGGGAAGTTAATTCGATCATTATTCTTCTCATCCGGGGATCGGATGAGATTAAAGTCTTCGCCCACGAGAACTGGGAGGAGGGAATTAGAGATCTTCAGCCCTAGCTCTGTCAGGAAGGCCGGGGAGCGGCGGTGGTCCGCCGGACCATAAACAATAATGACCTCCCATTTGAAATTCAAGGCGCGCTCGAAGATCTCCATACTAACGAAGAATTCGCCCCGGTCCATGCCACCCACCTCAAAGGTGGCATCCTTTACCCCTAAGAGGATGCCGCCAGAGTGGCCTGAGGTCCCACTAGAAGGGAGCCAGTGCCAAGCGAAGAGGTGGGAGCTAAGGCGCTCAAGCTCCTGAAGGGCGAACTCAGTACGCAAGGTTTCCTGGATGGCGATGATGTCAATGTGTTCGTCACGAATGTACTCAATGAGTTGGCGGCGACGACCATCATGGCCGAAGCCGCGGATGTTCCAGAAAAGGGCCAGCATCTAAGCCCCCATCGGGGGGCTGCTTGACCCCAGGACACGGAAAGCGCTTTGCACGCGGAGGGCTGCAATGCGCGAACAGGTGCG